ATTGATTTCATGTAATAATCTACTTTTTTGAGGTTGTGGATTTGGGGTTCTTGGGGTTTTCATGAGCTGTAAGCCATAATCATCACAATTATGACAAATCACGGCTTGAATTATCTTGCTTTGCATGTAATGAGTCTATCTCATATATTAGTTTCACCTTTTAAGTTGCATTAGTGAAATAAATGAACTTTGCACGATATTCTAATGATTCGAGTTTCACCTGTACATGCACAAGGGCCAATTTAGACAGGGGCCAGGTATCCTAGCAGCGTCTTTGGAGTGTAGGAGGGAACCTACGCAAGAACAAGCCCTGCACTCAAGGAGCTTACACTCCAAGGTCACTGTTTCATATGTACATGCACACAGGGCCAATTTAAACAGGAGCCAGGTATCCTACCAGCATGTCTTTGGAGTGTAGGAGGGAACCCATTTGTTGAAGATTCTTGTCATACAAACAACTCAATATTGGGCAGGTGATCATAATGTCATGGCTGATTGGTGTATAAATATACTGACAATCACACATTATGGGAATGATTTATAAAGCTTCTGACCAGTAGACATGTGCACCGGCAAAAAATGAGTTCCGTTTTAATTTGGATTTTGCGTTATTTCGGGATTCGGGTCCATAAGTCAATTCGTTTTGGGATTCGGACAAAATTAGTTAGCGGTAGTCTGTACGAACATTTGTTGCCGTTTCATTTCCTTCCTTCGTTGCAGCAAAGTGACATTTAAAATCAAAAAAATATGTCACTTTTCTGCAACGAAAATCCGTCCACAAACAAAAATGTGTGCAGACTATCGCTAACAAATTTCGTCCGAAATTTTGCTTTCAGAAATTCAGAATTGTTTTCATTAGTCATTTCTGTTATTTGGACATTCGGATATATCCGAATCTCCGAATAGCGAAAATTCGGCAGTTCAAGCGCCATTCAAAATATGCTGCCCGGCACTGAGTGTCAGCTTGAGGTGGGATGGGGCTATGGCCATAAAAGAGCTACATTTATACATGCATTGCTTACAGCTCCCTCACGTGTCCTATAGAGGTGCCATGGTGACATCAAATTCTGGCTCCTGGCACCTCTACAGGGCACGCAAGGGGGTTGTATGGATGGAGCTCCGTCACAGCACAGCAGCCCACACTGGACCCTAAGCTGAGGATCCACTCCAGTTCTCGTAAGGTAGGGAGCCTGGGTGGACCTTAAAAAAAATTATATATAAATATATATACACACACATATACACTGTATATATATATATATATATATATATATATATATATATATATACCATAATGTGCATGCTATGGGGATGACTTATAAAGCTTCCGCCCAGGCATACACTGGGCAAATGCTGTTCGCACGGCATTCCTACCACTAGATGGAGCCGAGGAGTATAGGAATGCTCTTCGGCTCCATCTAGTGGCAGGAATTGCAAACAGCATTTGTCCAGTTTATGTTGGGCGGAAACTTTATAAATCATCCCTTATGATTTATAAACTCAGTGCTTAAGGTGCACAGTTCATTTTGTGCTCCTTACAGGGATTATCTACTTTCTATTTCAGTATTTTTACCATGAAAAGAGAAATGAAACACATGCATCAATAAATACTTTTTGTCATTTGCATTCTCAGATGTTCAGAGTCTTTTAACAGAAATTAGGGAAGAAATAAATGTAGAAGTTTCCAAGAATTACAATGACACTCAAAAAGAAACCTACATACAGTATGAAACTTAACCACCTAATAGGGATAATCGAAACATGGAGTCATTGCTTCACCACTTGACAAAATGCATTAATGTCCACATTGAGGGCAGCATGAGGCTGGAGTCTGGGTAGTTTAGGTGAGGGTTGCAATGGGCTTTTAAATGGCTCCTGAGGGTCAGGGAAGCTCGAAGCTCTACTTTAAAGATTAAAGGTACAGGGCATCATGCAATAAGGTTTTACAGATTCTTAGAATTTACCAAGGTCTATCCAAAAATAGAATGCCAAAAACTGTTCAAATGGCAAAACAAAATCAATTGTCTAGGCCAGGGGTAGTCAACCTCGGCACTCCAGCTGTGCTGAAACAACAAATCCCATCGTACCTAATGGGACTTGCCTCACCTGCCCCATCAATGCCTTATGGGACTTGCAGTTCCACAACAGCTGGAGTGCCAAGGTTGCCTACCCTGGATCTAGACTGATCATTTCTCATTATCCATAAAGTATGCATTTCATGCAAAAACAATGGAAATGCAAACAAAAGTAGAGCACAAGCACCGCTCCCCCCAGCCCAAACAGAGGACTCCCAAGTGCCTGCCAACAAAGCATGTTCCAGCACATGTAAACACAATCCAAGGCAAAGAACCGTCCGCACACTAGGAAACGCTGCAGAAGGCCCTGTTCACATGATTTTCAGGTCCTGATCAGGTGCGGATCTGCAGACGCGGTGCTATGTGTTTTGCCGCGTTATGGCAGCGTTTTTGATGCGTTCCATAAAGCTTTATTGAAGCTGGTTCATGCCACAGAAGTCCCGCCCTTCTGATGCATTTTACCCAATAACATGCTTAGTAAGCCAATCAGCTGCAGTCACTGTTAGGGTAGCGTGAGAGGGGCACACCCACTGCTGTCAGAATACAATAGCTGGCAACAGAGACTCCCCTATCCACGTTATGTAGCATTGATGGGGAAATTTAGGTTTTTTTTTCTTGCTCAGAAAAAAACAAACTTTAAAGTGGAAGAAAAGTTTTATGGGTTTGTTTATAAAAGTTTTGCCCATGCCATTCGCACAGCACTAGCTCCCCTAGATGGGCTGATGAGCATAGGAAATATGCTACATGTCAGGTGGAAGCCCATGTTGTCAAATGGTGCCGACAGGCAGGCTTTGTTATGACAGAAGAGACTGTGCAAGTCATAGATATTTCTCCTTTCTACAGCTGTACACTGAGCTGCACATGCGTAGGATACTTGCCCAGATGAAGTAACTCTTGTGTGCATGCGTGGGATTCATGTCATCGGGGCCCAGCCAATTAAGAGGCTGAAGACTCACGAACCCGGAAGACCACTAGGAAGATGGAAGTGCTGGTGACCACTGGAGTGCATCACTTCTGTTGCTAAGTCTGCCATATTGTGCTAATATGCTTTGCACAGAAGGACATTATAGCAAACCTCTTCAAATCAATAATGATTAGCAGTTTACTTCCGCTTTAAAACTTTTATTAACCCTTGCAGCGCAGGGGGAGCTGCTCGTTTTCTCTAGGGATTAAGGGTTCATTCACACCATAGGGCAGTGCGTTCCGGTCAGAACCGGCTCACTTTTTGCCAGGCTGGAGGGGGCGTGGCGGGCCATTGAAGTAAATGGCACCGTAGCCACGCCCTGCGGCCGCATGGGACATTGTGCCTGCAGTGCGGTCAAAATAGTGCTTGCCGCATTTTGATCGCACCCCACCGCAGGCACAATGTGCCATGCGATCCCGTACAGGCGATCGCATTGCAGCTGCAGGGCATGGCTACGGTGCCATTCACTTCAATGGCCCGCCACGCCCCCTCCAGCCGGCAAAAAAGTGAGCGGGCAGCAATGCGGGCAGTGCTTTCCAGTCCGATTATGAACGTACTGCCCTATGGTGTGAACGTACCCTAAAGTACAAAAATGATACTCACCTGATCCTTGGAGCCGGCCAGCTGTCACAGCGCTCTCTCCAGCCTGTCCCCAAATACACAGCAGCAATGGTATGTATCTTGGAAAGTTAAAAGGACAGCATGCCAGGATACAGCGCTACACTTGAGGGGTTAAATTGGAGATATGTTGAGTTTCCTTGTACGGTTTGAGCAGCTTCAAAAGCGCATGGACCGGGGTGTCCAACCGAAGAGTAAGTTAAACAGAGAAGGGAAGTGAGAAGCGCTGCAAGCCGAGTAGGGAACAGGGCGATTTTTCGCTGAACCTTGTAAGGGGGGGGGGGGGCTGGAAAACTGGGAGCTAATATAAGTTCCCAAAATTCCGTGGTTAGTCCAATTAGTGGCGTCTTCAGGTCCAATACACAGTGGGGGGAATTTATCAAAACTGGAGCAGTTGCCTATGGCAACCAATCAGCTTCTCTCTTCAGTTTGTTCAGTTTGAAAATGAAGAGTGGATGCTGATCGGTTGCTATGGACAACAGCTCCAGGTTCTGTCTGCTCCAGTTTTGATAATTTCCCCTCCGTGTATAGGACGTGATGACTCTGGGACCTTAGATTGCTGCAGAGGAGGGTGAGACACTGGAAGGATCGGTCTAAGAAGAAGCCAGCTCAGAGGATTAGGTGAGTATAACTTTGGTATTTTAGTCCCTGGACGAAAACAAGCAGTTACCCCTGCACGGCGGAAGTAGCCCCGCTACAAGGGTTAGGCCAGGTTCACACTTGCGTGATCCGTGACCGCACGGCAATCATGCACAAAATCACGCAGATTGCCATGCAGTCACACACCAGCGCCGTTCACGCTGGTGGTGCCATTTTTTTCTAATGGCACCCCAGTCGTGCTGGGTGGATTGCAAAAAACAGGTACATGTACCTTTTTTCAGCTATTGCCGCGTGGATGTAACCCCATTTAAATCAGTGGGGCCGCGCGGCAACTGCTGTATGCAACTGCACACGATCGCGCATCCTGGATCACCCAGGTCTGCACCAGCCCTCAATAAAAAAAAGTTGCCCGGAGTTCTTCTTTAAACGTATGGCCAGCATAAGAGAGGAATTCCCCTCACTTTGGAAGATTCCTTCTAACTTCCTGCTGCATTTCTGGGACAGGAAGTGAAAGGAAATGCCCCCAATGGTACACTGACAGCAAGCTATATAACCAGACAGGGGTTTAACCCTTCACTACCCAAAACTAAAAAAAACAAAAGTTTATGGCTATACATTCATTTTATTTTACAAACAAGCATGCATAAAACTCGGTGCTGGGATACAGGCAAAAGGAGACAGTTCTCTCCCTCGTGTTGAACACACAAGAGCAAAGGAGAGTGACCAGCGGCCGTGTTCCCGCATCAAAGATGGCCGCGCCGGCCCCTCCCTCGCTCCATGGGGCAGCTCTATCCCTACTTCGTCACGGCCTCGCCTCTCTCCTGCTCCAAAGGGAGGAGGAGAGGCCGGGACGCGCTGCGGTCGCTGTGACGTCGGTGCGGCCGCTCGGTTGTGTTGCTTTGCAGGGCCGGAGAGACGCTCAGTCACATCCTGTGTCCGCGACGCGTCTGGACCGAGCCCGGATGTGCCGGAGCCGCGAAGCGACATGGCGGACAAACAACTAACGGCCCAAGAGGAACGGGTGAGCCGGGAGGAGGGGGGTCAGGGAGACGACGTTAGCGTGCGGGAACCTATCTGGCCAGATGTGCATAGGAGACCAACATTGCATGTCAGCTGGAGCTGCACTATATATGTGTGTTTTGTGTGTGCAGCAGCCATGATTACCAAGTTCAGGATGCCAATCAATGTGTCCCCTGCACAGAATACAATTGTCACATTGCTGCTTGTGGATGGCTCCAGCATCTCTCCTGGTCAATGTCTTCTATGTGCAACATGGGTCATATTCTGGAGTCATCCCCTCCCTGGGTGCTGCCCTCATTATGGACCTGTCACTGGGCTCTTTTAATGAGTCAGGACATATTGATTGAACTGCTCTGCAGGCTTTTATCAATGGATTGCTCCACCGTTTAGATTTTCCTGTGTGCTACCAACGCAGGCACGCTATTTGTCTATGTATACATGTATTTGTGTGTAATATATATCATTTCGATATGTAAACATGTTGCTTCTAGGCATCGAATACAGATGTTTGCCCAGTGACTGAACTTTCCTCTGGCATATTTTGCTTTTCATGCTTACACCTTTCCGCCCTCTTTAACATACTAATGACATTTATAAATCCTTTTTGGTTTTACTATATACCGCTTCTTTTTTTTTTTTTTTAATCCTATTGATTTCACCACTGAGTCTCTGTGCCTCTCTATGCAATGCAGGATGATCATAGCTGGTGGGAGGGGCAGCAGGTTGCTCTACATACACTTTAATACCAAATGTTTTGGGATGCCTGCCTTTACACGCACATGAACTTTAATGGCATCCCAGTCTCCGCCCGTAGGGTTCAATATTGAGTTGGCCCGCCCTTTGCACCTATAACAGCTTCAACTCTTCTGGGAAAGCTGTCCACAAGGTTTAGGAGTGTGTCTATGGGAATGTTTAACCATTCTTCTAGAAGCGCATTTGTGAGGTCAGGTACTGATGTTGGACGAGAAGGCCGGGCTCGCAGTCTCCGCTCTAATTCATCCCAAAGGTGCTCTGTCGGGTTGAGGTCAGGACTGTGCAAGCCAGTCAAGTTCCTTCACCCCACACTCGCTCATCCATGTCTTTATGGACCTTGCTTTGTGCACTGGTGCGCAGTCATGTTGGAACAGGAAGGGGCCATCCCCAAACTGTTCCCACAAAGTTGGGACCATAAAATTGTCCAAAATGTCTTGGTATGCTGATGCCTTAAGAGTTCCCTTCACTGTGGGGCCAAGCCTAACCCCTGATAACCCCACAGCATAATCCCCCCTCCACCAAACTTTACACTTGGCACAATGCAGTCAGGCAAGTACCGTTCTCCTGGCAACCGCCAAACCCAGACACGTCCATCGGATTGCCAGACAGAGAAGCGGTGATTCATCAGTCCAGAGAACACGTCTCCACTTCTCTAGAGTCCTGTGGCGGCGTGCTTTACACCACTGCATCCGACGCTTTGCATTGCACTTGGTGATGTAAGGCTTGGATGCAGCTGCTCGGCCATGGAAACCCATTCCATGAAGCTCTCTACACACTGTTGTTGTGCCAATCTGAAGGCCACACGAAGTTTGGAGGTCTGTAGCTATTGACTCTGCAGACAGTTGGCGACTTCTGCGCACTGTGCGCTTCAGCATGCACTAACCCCGCTCTCTCATTTTACGTGGCCTACCACTTCGTGGCTGAGTTGCTGTTCCCAGTTGCTTCGACTTTGTTATAATACCACATACAGTTGACCGTGGAATACTTAGTAGCAAGGAAATTTCACGGAACACCTGAATCCCAATACTTTTGCTAATATAGTGTAGCTTCCTGGAAACCTCACCTAATGTAAGCAGCGGGCTGGCTTTTTGGAGGAGTTGTGTCACTATCAAAATCCTCCTTGATGGGTGGATGTTGGTCCCGGCAAACTCTGACCCTCCTGCTGTGGTGAAACTACAAATGCCATCATGTTTCTGTCTCTGGTAGTCATGCCTGTGGCTGTGAGAATCTTGCAATACCTCATGGGATTTGTGGTTCCACCCCTGGTGCGGAGGAGTGGGTGTTCCTAGGCAGGCTGTGTTGGCAAGCAGACCGCCCTAGGCAATTTTTACATGTTTGAAAGAATCCAGTGAGTGAAAGTGGTGAGCCAGTTAGGCTGAGGAGGAAAGAGTTGGGTGATTGTGGATGTTCTCTAGCCAGGAAACGAGGTGGGCTCTGTCTGATTTGCTGCAGATTCCAACGCACAATGTGCGAAGTGAAATCAGAGTCAATGTTTTTAGTACAAGAGAGGAGCCGGTGTGAATGTCAGGCCAGAGTTCAGCTTTAAGTCTCCATTCAGTGATCAGAAGCACTTCCACACTTGACCATTGCTCAACACGCGACAAGTACAAGAGCTTCTTTGGGGCATGATTACATGTTTTTGGCTCCAATAGACTTCAGTGAGAGCACCTGGAAAATTTCCATTTCATGCCTAACAGCCGTCTCTTCCTAGTATCTAGCATTCTAGCGACCTAAAACAAAAACACACAGGCCGGAAAGCACCTTAAAAAATAAATAAAACCCTACACGTACAAATGTACAAATTACCAAGCATGCCGCTGCAGACGTGTACCTGGGGGGCTAACTTAAAGAGGAACTCTATGATGTCAAAATAGACCCTTGCAGAGGGGTTCCCCACACACTGCAAGGGTTAGCTGCTAATCATTCTCTATACCAGGGGTGGCAAACACAAGGCCCGCGGGCCGAATCCGGCCCGCCGGACCTTGTAATGTGGCCCGCACAGCGCTGTCTGCTGTCAGGATGGAGGAGCGGTGAGGGGGAGAGAAGCCGTGCCAGCAGCTGTCAGGATGGCCGAGCGGGGAGGAGATCGGAGCCGCTGTCATCCTGTCAGTTTCAGGATGACATTTTGAGGGTAACCATACTGCTGATGTGGCCACCGATGAATTTGAGTTTGCCACCCCTGCTCTATACACTCACCCGATCCTCAATCCCTAGACCTGTCCCCGCAGCCTCTTCTCCCCTGGGCTCTGGTGGTCTAAGCCCTGCCGATGTCACATATAATTCAGTCCATTTACTAGATGTGAGGACACCAAGGGACTTCCAGAGCAAACTGGAGTTCTTCTTTAAACCAGTTTGCAAAAGGATGTCACCAGCACATCATTGAAGTGAAATCAAGGTGGGTTTCCTGATGGAGACTATGGCGGACCATGCTTATATAATGTGTGTTGAAATGACAACTTCATCAGAAGCCAGGGTGACAATGCACAAGTACAATTGGGATACGTGGACAGAACGTTGTCACCCCATAACAAGAAGTACCTGAATAGGATCCTTAATGGAAGGATCGCCAGGTCTGATTTTAATGAAAACGGCAGATTTCAAATGGAACAAAATGACTATTGAAACTACGTTGACATATTAAAGCTCCTGTGTGATATATATATATATATATATATAACACGAAGACTCTTGCTATAAACTAGTTATGTAATGTTCCAATGTGCACATTTTTCTGCCATTCATTGCAATGCCTTGAAGAATCCTATGCATTTAAATATACCACATGAGTTGTTAGTGGGCGGTTTATTAACAGAGCTGAATTCCAGGCACCCTGCTAAAGAAATAGTACAAATGCATATACAGGAGCTGTGAGTTGTAATTGTGTGATGCAGTCCCCCTTCAGATAGCATAGGCAGCTCCTTGACCTGTACTGCAGCCACGTGGCTTGGTCTAAAACACATCCTCAATGTGCTGATTGGACAATGAAGGAGCAGCAATGCACCGATGAGGTCTTTCCTTTTGTCCGCATCTTCCCTGTAAGCACATATGCATTTAATAGAGCTTAAGGCTGAACGCCAGGATAAATATGGTTTAAATAAAAGAGCATCATGCATTCTTATTTGAACCTTAACTTGACTTTGGTATGATTTTGGCCCCTTGGACTTTAATGGAATCATATATAAAAAAAATGTGTGTGTATGCCATAACAGCGTTCTTCTGCTCTACACAAGCTGCAAAAGAGATAGAGAATGGCCTTCACCTGCATGCTCAGTCTCTCTTCTCTATTTGCTATCACCGGATGGACCCAGTATGTTTTCTTGCTCTTCTCTGCCTCGTCGTCCACCAAAATTGCGGCAGTAACTGTGGCGGCTGCTGGCATAGTCTCATAGTGGTCATGAGACAAGATTGAAGCACAACTACTCAAGCAAACAGAGGAAGCGTGATTCTTAAAGGAAGGCTGTGCCTAATGATGTCACAAGAGAACTTGCTTGTCATTAGTCAAGACATGCATTATGAAAAAGGCACCACAAAAGGCAGACACACAAGTGGTAACCTGGCCTTAGGCCTTGTTCACACCAAGCGCGGAGCAGGTGCAGAGCAGTTGGAGACCGAATCAAAACTGCGTCCAATGTATTGCAATGGTATTTTTTTGCTCCAGTTCACATCGCAGCGTGCAGTTCCAGAGCAGGTGAAAAAACTGCAGCAAGCCCTATTTTACCTGCTCTGGAACACATGCAAACGCATTAAAAACACCTGGAACGCACTGAAAGCCCATTTAAAACTAAAAAAAAAAAGTTTAAACTGCCCGCAACGCATCAAAAAACGCGGCGCAACCCACTGCACTGCGTGTGCAGAAACCTGAGCGGATCTGCTCTGCATTTGGTGTGAACAAGGCCTTAATACATTTAATTATTTTGTTTATAAATACACAACTGTATTGTCTTTATTAAGATTCAGCTCGTTTACACAGCGAGCTGGAGGAAACTATGTGATCCTCCACCATGTATAGAGGAGCTCTCTTTGACATAATAAACAAGGGCAGCAGAACTAGCATCCGATAGAGATTCACACCCCCTCGTCTACAAGACATTATTCAAGTGTAAACAGGACAGTAAAACTACCTTAGGAAATGACAATAGGAATATAGAGCATATGAATGGATTTTGGCATTCTAAGTGTATCGGCACACATACTGTATATTGTAGCACTTTATGATCATGGAGATCTTCATTTTTAAGCCCATTCACA